GACGATTAATATTGGTGTTGCAGGAACATGGGAATGGAATATTTGGACATGTACCTAGTGCACTGGCCAGTGAAGTTGAAGCCATGGGCATGCAATCCCATTCCAGATGAAGATGAATTTGAGCCATTGGATTTGGAGACCACTTGGTCTGGAATGGAGAAGTGCCTGGACTTGGGATTGTGCAGGTGCATTGGTGTCAGCAATTTCTCCACCAAAAAGATTGAACAGCTTCTGGATTTTGCCTCTGTTCCCCCAGCTGTCGATCAGGTAAAATTTACCACTTAAATAATTAAATTCATGAGGTTACGTTTGAATTCGAGGGCGAGTCTTGATGTAATTAAAAGGTTGTTTTTTTAATGGAAAAATTACTGGTTCAAGTTGTAGGAATAGTTTTTTTATAAAGTAAGGATAAGATCGTGTATAATAGACGTTTTTTCTCCTCTTCTCCTTTGATCCTCGCAAAATAGAAAGACTTACTGACTTGAGATTGCCCTTTAAATTAGGTTTTAATTTCTCAGTGCGCCAACTTCGAACACAGAAGTTTGGAGTGAATCTCATTCCGTTAGCATCAATCGTCATTTGACATGAGATTATTTATAAGAAAAATTAATGAAAATGACATGAAAACTTTGAGTTTTAACAAAAATGACAAAATAAAGAGTAAAATAAATAATATCAGAATTAATTTTTTTAATATAAAAATATGATTTTTTTGTTAAAGTAAACATTATCAAAAAAAAAATTTCATTGAAGTTCCTTGTTTATACGCACAGGTCGAAATGCACCCGCTGTGGAGGCAAAGAAAGCTTCGAGATTTTTGTAGGGACCACAACATCCATGTAAGTGCTTACTCACCACTTGGTGGGCCTGGGAATTCATGGGGATCAACACTTGTGGTGAACAGTCCAACCATTCGGGCCATTGCCAACAAGCGTAAAGCAACTCCAGCCCAGGTAAACCCATCAAATAACAAACAAAACCATAGCAAACTTAGGACTCGTTTGAAAGTATATTTAAAATGATCTAAACGTTTTTAGAAAAATTGTTTTTGGGTTCAAAAACACTGTAAGTGTTTTATGCAAGAAGCACTTTAAATGCTTTTCCAAGATTTACTTGTATTTTTACTAATGACTGGTTCCAAAAATATTTTCCCCAAAAACACTTTCATCCATTTTAAAAGTACTTCCAAATGAACTCTCATTTATATTTTTTTATTAATGTAAGCTATATTCTATTTTAAATTACACAAAATGGTAGATCGGAAAATTTTAACGCATATGCATAAGGAAACCATGTCTGTTCTAACCAATGTGACTAATGTCTGCAACTGTTAAATGCTAATTAAATTCTTTTACTTGATGTAGGTTGCTCTAAGGTGGGGATTATCAAAGGGATCAAGCATGATTGTGAAAAGCTTTAGTCCAGAAAGGATTAAGGAGAACTTTGGAGCCTTTGATCTGAAATTGGACGGTCAAGATTTCATGGAGATAGACAAGTTGGAGGAAAGGAAGATCATGAGGGGAGAGTTTCTAGTCAACGAAACCACAAGCCCATACAAAACAATTCAAGATTTATGGGATGATGAAATTTAAATTCATTTCACATTGTTGTATTTTGTATGTAATTTAACCTTGAGTCTTCAATAAAAGGCGACCTCAAGCCAACAAGGGTCTTTGTTTGCAAGGGTAGGGTTGGGGAGGCCTCTATTGTACGTAGTCTTATCCTTATTTTGCAAAATAACTGTTTCCTTTTCATGACTCGAACCCGTGACCTTCGGTCACAAAAGAATAACATTTTTGTTGCGCCAATACTCGCCCTCAACCTTTAATCTTCAATGAATCATAAATTTCACCACAAAATTTATCAACAGATTTTGAGTGCCAGGCCAATTTCTTCAAATCCTGTCACTCGATCTTCGCCATCCAAACCGGTTTGCTGCTTTAGAACCCTTAGATTACCGATTCATTTCTCCGATTCTGAACCCTAAACCCGAAAATTGAACCAAATTCGTTAAACAGGTAACTATGTGACATACACTGTTGAAAGAAAAAAAAATTACATTATGATAGCCCAAGTCATACCTTGAGCTAACATACGAACGAAGTCTAATTTTCCTGAAGCTGCCTACTGTTTTCATTGGACTTCGGCGAAATTCCTTGCTCAATACGCTATATAACGATGAGCTAGTTGGGTAAGATAACTATGAGTTCGCAGTGTATGTAGACAAGGACTAACATATTGAGTTGGACATTGACATCAAGTTTTGAAGATTTAAGAAGCACGCAGGATTGCTTGAATTCGAAAAGTTTAATCATAACTCAGAAGATGTACCTCGAGAAGATATCCGTGCAGCCAGTCCAATGTCGGGTTGAATGTGTTTGTTGACAGGTTGAGTACTTTCAATCCCTGTTTGAATCAGATTAGCGAAAGATAAACCATCTGCCAATGTAAAGTTAATATGAACCGTGATTCACAAGAAACGCGCTTGCCTTGGAGTTGAATGAACAAAGATAGTCCTGAATGGTCTTTAAGTTGCTTGCTAGCTTATTTTTGTCCTAGAAAAGTAAACAAATAGATCACCGGATTGTTCTAACAAACAATCAGACTGTTTAGTTTTCAATTAATCAACGAACGATAAGCCTATAGTTCATTATTATTAACAGAAAATATAAGATGGTTAATAGTGAATACCTGGACTAGTTTATCATTGAATGCAAAAGTTGAGAACCATTCCTCTAGTAACGCCTGCAGATTGCGAAAAGAACAGGAGCAATGAGGTGAAATTTGAAGAATTAAAACTCGAGAAATGCTGTAATCTTAAAACTATGTAATATGTCAGAGGACGTGACCACACATTGTGATCGAATTCAGCCATCTTCAGAACTAGAGGTATAATAATTGGTCCAGGACCACACTTCTCTTTCGAAACAGAAGTACTTTTAACCTCCTCCGAACCACTTTCACCTGCACTACGGCCATGAAAGCATTTAGAGAACTAACATCTTAAATGGTTCAACTTGTCAACTCTCTTCAACGCAAACTTTGCAACCATATCCACATTAGGTTTAACCTTCGTTATTAATCTCAATGAAACTTCCTGCTAGGCCAATAGCTTCCAGGTAATCTACTTTGTTCGCTTTGTTAGTTGTGGGTGTCCCTTCTTCTGAGCTGACATGCACATTTTCCAAGTGTGTTCTGGATTCGTCTGGTGTTTTATTTTCATCCGCCATCAGATAGATGTTTGGATCGATATGCATTCCCTGTCATTACCATTAAAAGACGAAGGAGATCATATATGCTGAGAGAGACAGGAAACCATTACAGTGAGATGTTTATAGTTATCCTACTTCTATTATTATTGGCTTCCCATCTTTCACTGCCTTCTTCAAATCACCCGCCAATCCTACCGAACAAAGCAGACGAAATGTATGAATAAAGAGAGACATAATCTGCAAAACATTCTCTAACAGGCTTCAAACTGTTCCGATTATCTAATAAAGTGACTACCTTTACGAACAATCCTGCATTCCCTACAAAACTCGGTAATTAACTCCTCCGCGGAGCTGAAGTCTCGCGCCCATACAGGAGTAGATGCCAACGGTGCACTGAATTGGATCAAACGAGAGTATAAAAACATAGAATAGAAAAACTAAACTTGAGAAACGAGAAACATTCCTCTTCAAATGTAAGAAACTAAATAAAATCAAGACCTACTCCGTTGATGTGCGCAGCAATTCGTATACCACATCTGTCTGCATGACATTAGGCAAATTCAACCTCTGTGAAATTTGTGTTGCAATCGTCGACTTTCCAACGCAGGCAGTTCCACACAAAAGAATGATCAATGGCACTCTTTGATGGTGAAATCTGAAAGAAACGTAACCCCGACCAAATTGTTTCTTAAAAATCATGAACCGCCATATAACGCAGCGAAATTTTTTCCATGGACTGACCTCGTCATCATCTTGTAACGATTTGCGTACTCTTCCCCATAGCCCCTTTGCTCCATAAGCTGCAAATTATATAGAACTGTGAAGCTGATCAAATTCGACATGTTGAAATTTCGCAAAGTTCACAACTTCAACTTCTGTGGCCATTACCTTGAACATATTAGCTTCCAAATCGGACTGCGACCTGCCATACAACAACAGAATGCACAAAGTTAAGCCATATGTGGAAATCTAAACAAGAAATGAACAAAGCAATGTGGATGAAGGACGCGACGCGACATACACATCCAGAAGGCTGTTGTCCACAAGCAGCTTCTTGAGCTCAAGAGCGATTCTGATAGCTGCATGATTTGGGATCTAATAAACAGAATTATAATTTCGTCATCAGATTTCGCACGAAGAAACAAATGATCGAATTGTGACCAGCCAAACGAAGCATGACGAAGGAAATGCAGATTGAATTCCACCTTGGTGACGGTTAACATTTGGCTGAGCAAAAACCTCGAAAACACGTAGTAGTGCTCGGCATGATCACCCAACCACACCTTCACCTGGTTGCGAAACAACAAACTTTTACCACTCAAATTTTCTCAGGAACCAAACAGAAAGAATGATCGAGGAAAAGAAAACTAACCTTGACAAAGTCGTATTTGGAGGAAGCAGTTATGGTTCTCGGACCCATCTCCTGCAAATTAGTAAATTACAGAATGCAGATTGCATGTATTTTGGATTCTTGGATTTAATGCCGTTGCGTCCTAAGATTTTGATGATCCATGCAGCTGGTTGATTTTTTATTTTATTTTTGGATGCAACAAACTTACTGCTTTTTGTTGATATTGATTGTGAGATGATAACACCAATGATATTTCATTTCACGTGTTATAGAAGAAGGTGCATCGAAAAATTGCTCGTGAGATGGAATGTATAGTCACGTCGATAGAATCATGGGATATTGATTGAATATATCACATACCATATCATGTGGTATAAATACGAGGTGACCTTTAGCATCCCTTTGAATATATCATGCCACATCACGCAGTATCAAAATGTGCTATAAATATGTGGTAACCCTAGCATTACTCGACAGACAATTTACTGCATCTCTTTGTTGATATATACAGAGAAAAGGCGAAGAAGATGCACATACAACTGACGCTGTCCAAAGGTCGATCGTCGAAAAAGTGGTTAAGAACATCATCTTAAATACAGTATCCCTTAAGTTAAACATACGAACACTACTACGACAACAACTTATTGACTGATTTTACATACGTACAATACGAAGACAACAACTTATCCGAAACTTGGTATCTCGTATCGAAAAATTGAATTTTGGTGAAGTCTTGGATGCATTGAAGAGGCTGCATTTAGTTGAAATCTGGCGTCTCATCAAAGAACAAGTAATGCAAGTAGAAATTTGTTCTGCAAGCTGCTGCTGCTGCTGCAAAGGTGCTTATAGTATTTGTTCTCTGCTTTGTTTCCCGACATTTGATCTATATCGTCCAGCCGATCACTGTTTCATAACCGTTACTGGTTCTTTTCTCCAGCTCTACGTGAACTACAAACAGATATTATCAAGGAATGAATTTTAGCACAAAGGAATGAATGTAAAGCTGGTCATGAGCATAATATTTTTCGTGTTTGTTTTACAATCTTTTCCCATTTTCATTTGAACTTACCATGTAATTATTTTGTTTACAGAAGACAATAAATACCTAATCATATAGAGAGAAAACTAGATCAAAACAATGGAAGTCAAACTCATACCAGCCTTCAGCCAACATCGGAATGCAGTCTAACTTTCTGCAGGCCGCCTACTATTTTCATTGGACACTGATGAAATACCATGCTCTATACACTTTATAAAGAAACAAGGAGCCAGTTAATGTATCTTTCTCATATTCCGGCCACAGTGGCAGTTAAATTTGAGGTAATCTTGTATTGGTGATGGCATAATACGATAATATCATTTGGTGCCTTAAACATCCAAAACTTCCAGGTTTCAGCAGCATTAAAGAGGCCAGGGCAGCACAAATTTAAAAGAGTTCATCAGAAGTACCTCAAGAAGATACCCATGCAGCCAATCCAGTGTTTGCGGAAATGTGGTTGAAGATATATTGACAACTGTCAATCCCTGTTTGAATCAAGGATGATAAAATAAGACAACCAATAATAAACAATCGGCCAACTCAAAGATTAAAGGAGTTACAACACAGGAAAGAACTTACCTGCGAATTGAATGAACAAAGATAGTCCTGGATGGTCTTTAAGTTGCGTATTAGCTTATCTTTATCCTGGAAATGATAAATACGAGGGTTTGAGGGGATTTTTCCAACTGATAAGCTATCTTGAAAAAGAGTGAAAAACGAAAATCCGACGGGAATCTCTTCATTTAACAAACATTTAAGCATTCTTCATGATTTGATACCTGGACTACAGATTTACCACTAAATGTACGAGTTGAGATCACCTCTTCTAGTAATGCCTGCAAATGAGAAGTATAGGTAAACAAATTACAAAACAAGGCAAAGATTCAGAGAAGAATAGAAACAACGAAAAATTTGCAGTCACATCATCACCAACATGAAAACTCAAGAAATTCTTTACCAAGAGCCAAGAATAAAAGCATGAGAATCTGTATTCATTTTTCTACGAGAACTATATGTTTTCTAAATGACACCAATTCAGGATTTAGAGGCCTATGATTAAGAGAGGAGAGAGGGGACAGCACTAATAAATGTGCATGCACAAAAACAGAAACCAAAACCAACCAAGGCCAAATGCACTCACACAGAAAACGAGGACAGTGGGAAAAAGAGTTTGTACCATAATAAACTATATAAGTGAAGGAGAATGTGACCGCACCTTATGATCAAACTCAGCCATCTTCAAAACTAGAGGTATAATAATTGGTTCAGTACCAGACTTCTCTTTCTTAACAGAAGTACTTTTACTCAACTCCGGATCAGTAACACTTTCACCTGGATTGCATAAAAGTAGTCAGAGAACTGACATCTTAAATGTTCAACTCTGCCCTGTGCCTATTGATTAATTATGTTTCTGACCAAAATTAAGTGTGTTGGAACAGAACATAAACAATCTGAGAATTATCCACAGTGGGGATCAACCTTTTTCCTCAGAAACACTTCCGGCTAGGTCAATAGCTTCCAGGTGATCCGAGACTTCGTCCACCTTGTTAGTTGGTGTCCCTTCTTCGCAGCTGACATGTGCAGCACTGTTGCAAACTTCAGAAGAACTTCCGCTTATACTTGGAGAATTGTTTTCCATCTGTGTTTTGGAACCATCTACTGCAACGGGGTCTGCCTCCTGAGTTTTCTCTTGTGCTTGTGTTTTATTATCATCTTCCATTAAATAAATGCTTGGATCCAAATGTATTCCCTGCCATTATCATCAAACAGATGAAATCATCCAAGCTGAGAGTGAGACAAACTAAGTGGACGGAAGCTTGCTAATGCTTTTGACACTGTCATCGATAAATTGTTCATCCAAATAATTCACATATATGACCTAAAAAAAATCCCTTTTTATTTTTCAGCATTTAAAAACGCAAATGTCCATGCAGTGCCGTGATAAGCGTGTGCACACACACACACACACACACTCTCTCTCTCTCTCTCTCTCTCTCTCTCTCTCTCTCTCTCTCTCTCTCTCTCTCTCTCTCTCTCTCTCTCTCTCTCTTTCTCTCTCTCTCTCCCTAGGAAACTAGAAAGTCACGTCCACAAAATGTTTTGCAGCAAATACCATGGATTTTTTAACATAAGCACGGACTTAGCACCCAAACTGGAACATCTTGAGGAAAGATTCTTAAGCCATACGAAATACACGCACACCCAATCCCTTGTGAAAAGTAGTCACTATAAGATTTGTTCTGACACTTCTTACTGAAAATTACCAACCTAAGCAAATAGAGCAATAAAAATTCATCTGTCTGGTTCTCACTTCAAGACAAGGTTCAGGTACAAAACCAGATAAATGAGACTTGAACAGAATCTCCAGAAAACTAAGCACGGAGGGAACAAAAATATTGCAGCGAATCTATATGAGCTTTTTCAAGCTTAATATTTGAAACAGATCCTTTCCATAATAAAAAAGAAATGAAAAGGAACAGATAGAAGGAGGCAAAACTTTGAAGGGACAAAAGTTAGTTACAATGTGATTGACATCCACGGATTTCATAAACAAACACACCTCTATTATTATTGGTTTTCCATCTTTCATAGCTTTCTTCAAATCACCAGCCAATCCTGATAAACACATGTTCCAGAACTTTGATCAATATACTAGCCAAAAAGAGATTTCTGATTTCTCAAGGTTATAACTTCAAAAGTAGTCATATGACACATCTCAGCAGGTGGATCAATAAAGACATTACCTTTACGGACAATCCTGCATTCCCTACAAAATTCAGTAATTAACTCCTCAGAGGAGCTGAAGTCTCGTTCCCATACAGGAGTAGATGTCAACGGTGCACTGAATTGGATAAAAGGAGAGAATAAGCATTCCAATATCGTTCATCAAAACAAAGGACTTCAACACACGCAATGCTAACTAATCAGCTTAACATAGGACACACTATTATTTTGCAAACTATATTTTGGTGCACATTCAAATGAAAAACAAAGGAAATGTATGAAATTGGGACATACTCTGTTGAAGTGCGCAACAATTCATATACCATATCTGTCTGTAACAATTACACAGGAAAAATAAATGTCAAAGACATCTCTATGCACCTTGAAAACAGTAGAGAGAGGGAGGGAGAGAGAGAGAGGGAGAGAGAGAGAGAGAGAGAGAGAGAGAGAGAGAGAGAAAGGGAGGGAGAGAGAGAGAGGGAGGGGGAGAGAGAGAGAGAGAGAGAGAGAGAGAGAGAGAGAGAGAGAGAGAGAGAGAGAGAATGACAGGTGACAAATATTAGAACCTGCAAGACATTAGGCAAATTTAGTCTTTGTGCGAGTTGGGTAGCAATGGTCGACTTTCCAACACAGGCAGTTCCACATACAAGAATAACTAATGGTACTCGTTGATGGTGAAATCTGTAAAAATTTGTCTCAGCAAAGAAAAAAACTGGCATTACCATAGAATTCAGTAAAATTTTATCATCTTTTGTTTATTCGGTTTCAAGGCACTTCCTAAGAGTATATAGATTTTAGACTGACCTGGTCATCATCTTGTACCGATTTATGTACTCTTCCCCATAACCCCTTCGTTCCATAAGCTACAAATACAGAATGAACCCAAATCAGCATCTAGAAAGTTTGCAAAGTGCACTACTTTTCCGACAACTACACAAGCATATGACATTACCTTAAACAAATTCACTTCCAAATCGGACTGCGAACTGCAACGCATCAGGCGAACCCAAAAGTGAAACCATTTATACAAATCCAAACAAAACAACAAGAAAAATCAGAATAACAAAAAAGAATCAACGTTGAGACAGCATACACATCTAGCAGGCTGTTGTCGATCAGCAGCTTCTTGAGCTCCAGCGCGATTTTAATCGCTACATAATTCGGGATCTACAGATCACCACACCAAAAATTCACAATGAATAACATGATCAAATCATTACAATTTACCAAAATAAACGAACAAGTGAATCAAAATACTGAATTGGGTCGACTGAAATCGATACCTTAGTGACAGTCAACATTCGACTGAGCAAAAATCTGGAAAGAACATAGTAGTGATCTGCATTATCACCCAGCCAGACCTTCACCTGATGAGCAAAACAGAAATGATATTCGATTTCTGATTCATTTTCTTGGGACCCAAACAGAAAATCAAGAGAGAAAATCGAAAAAAGGAAAATGAAGAACCTTGACAAAGTCGTATTTGGAGGAAGTGTTGCGGGACGAGAATCTGATGGAAGTCGAAGAGACGCCACTACTTCTGTTGTTGTTGTCGTCGTCCAAATCCAAGTCGTCTACGCTGATGTTAACGTTGTCGTCGTCGATGTCGTTGATGTTGGGGCTTGAGACGGCGACTGCTTTGCCCTTGTTGTTCATCGTCTGTGTGTCTGGGTGGAATCCCATTGTTGTTCCAGTTCGAGAGGGGAGTTGCAGAAAGACAGAGGGTTAGGTGAGATCTTTCAGTGCGCCGGGACACGGCGTGTCACGCCACGTCACATTTTATTATACAAAATTAAAAGTGTTAAAGGCCTATCTGACGGATAGGTTCGAATTTCGTCGGTATGCCATTATTAAGAAAATCCACATTGTCAATTTTTTTTTCTTTTTTTTCTTATTTTGCCCTTATTTTTAATACACACTATTAACAAAAGAGGAGTAAAATAGTAATTTTATATCTTTTGACAAAATGACAATCATATTTTTTCAATTTTACCCTTATTTTTTATACACAATAGTAATTATGTAATATTAAAAAAAATATGCACTTATTAAGAAAAATTGCTCACGCACACAAAATGTGTGCTCTCTGCTAGTTTAATATCTAAGCTAACAAAATTTATTGTTTAGCCAAAAAAAAAAGAACATTTTTAGTGTCTTTTTCATTAAATAATGATACATGTGGTATTTCACTCGTGTTCTGCACATATTGAAAGAAGACAACTTTTCCAAGTGTCAACAGCTATGTTAACAATGTTGTACGTATTGGTAATGCTAAAGAAATCAAAATTTTAAACCAAATGATATGATTGTTGATAATTGAATTATTACTTAAGTGTTGATTAGCGTACTTATTTTTTATTGGTGACAAATTATTTAGTTTACGTAGCATTACCTTATACATACAATGCTCTTCTATAGTTTGACTAAAATTTTATTCTTGTTGATGATAGAAGAAAAAAATTATATAACACTAATACACTGTTACTGTGAAGTTTCGATACAATGAGAAAAACGTATAAATTTTTTTTACATGTCCCTATTTTATTTGTAATATTGAATTATCCTATGGATGGGTGAAAGTTACCCTCAATTTGACGGAACAATTGACAAAGTTACCAACAAGAACGAAGAAGTAAAACATTTGTACCATAAAATTAAGGTTATGGAGAAACGGGTTTGCCCAACATTCACTAGGGGAGAAGTGGGTAGGGCAAACTGTAATATAATTGTACAACCTGGGCTGTTTCCTCATTGTGGAAGATTAAAACCAACAACAATCTTCCTCTGCATACTCATACATTCTTCATACAAGAGATCATTGATGATCATCTCATCTGTGGATAAATTCAAGGAGCGGATTCTGATCATCGAACAGCATCTTCAAATCTCGCGTCTTCCTGAAAAATCTACTGCCTTTCTTTCCTATGGTGGTTCCATTAATTCTCGACGGGAGAAGAGATTTGGTATCCGGTCTCCATTGCAGCTCTTTGAGGGTAGAAAACAAGGTTGAGAGTGCAGGAGATATCTCCTTGTCCTTTAAGTTCTTGCACGATGCAACTCGAAGACATTCGAGCCCCTTCCAGGCAAGAATTACAGACTCCAGACCCTCTGTTGTTAGCACTGAGCATCCTTCTAGTGATAGCAACTTCACTCTCCTGCGACAACACCAAACGCCCATAAAATTCCCAAGTAGAATTCAGTCACCAAAAATCTTAGCAACTCGAACAGTAAAAGGTATGAACTTTCGACAATTCAAGCAAATCGAAGTATCTACAGTTCATTACAATTGCAATATAACAAATGCAACAATACATCGTCAATAATCTTCGAAAAGTTTGTAGCTTTTGTTCTAGCAAACCTACTCGTAACGTTAAGAACATTCGTAGATTGATACCAGATAACTAAACGGCGTATAACCAGCCAACATAAATCTCAGGCAACGGAAGGCATAACATAGAGAGAAGAACCAATGTACCTGCAAGTGCTTGCTAGCCTGAACATATCATTCTCCAATCCCCAACAGTTCTTAAAAACAATCTCCTTCGCAGCTCTACACACCATAAACAAAGCTCTCACGATCTTCTTGTCCCTCAGCTGACATTTCTCCAAATGCAACCTTTCCAGAGCCGGACAAGCACTCAAGTACTCGTCCGGCCCTGGAACAGTATCAATCCTCTTACACGACTGAAACCTCAAAGTCTTCAAATTTTCGCAATAGGGAAGCGCGGCCAGCCAGCCACCATCCATCCTGTGATCACAGAAAGTCAGCTCCTCCAACATTTGGCAACACTGCCCAATTGCCTTAATCCCATCATAGCTTCCCTCACATCCCCAAAGCTCAAGCTTTACCAGTCTAGTACACCCTTGAGCTAAAATTGTCAACCCGATATCCGAAACCACTGAACTGTAAAGTCCATCCACATTTGCAACCAGCTTCAGCACCTGCAAATTCTCACACGCCGCAATCCCACGCAGCACATTGTCACTGCACTTGTGCAGTTCCAGTTCTTGCAATGTGGGGCACTCCTCCGCCACACTCAGCAGGCCTAATTCACTAGCGCCAATCACCACAAGCTTCCGCAAGTTGGGGCATCCACTCGCCAGCCCATCAAGCCCCCTGTCAACAACTTCAGCTGGAAGCAAATTCGATTCCAAAACTCGCTGATTCGGCGAAAACCCGGAGCCGGTATGCACCGACAACATCCTACAACTCAACGAAATGCCCGAATTTTGGTCCGGAATCAACGACCCAGATAGAAGATCCACCTGATTCAGGTTGGGGAACCGCGAAATTAACCGACCCGATTGGAGAAAGTTCCAGTCCAAGATCTTGATTGACCGTACAAGGCGGCCGTGGAGGTTGAGCCACCGCTTGCAGACGACGGAGCTAGGCTTCCGCTGCGATTCCGGCAGCTTGGCGAGGATCTTGAGGAGGATTTCGTCGGACAATACGGAAGTCCGGTCAATGTTTGCCCAATTAGGGATCAGGGTTTTGTGGGTGGATTTCGGATTGGGCGAGGCCAGCTGCATAGCGAAGATCATGTTCTTGAGAGGGGTGGTGTTCTTGAGCCAGATGTCTGACCACCTAGCCGTCCGCCGCTTCGATGGCGGTAAAGGGCTGGTCTTTGGGTTTGGTTTCTCGCACCGCAACGACATCGTTTCATGGTCGTCTTCTTCTGCTGTTTCTCTGTATCCCATTTTTGTCTTTCTTCTTGTTTCAGCTCTCTCTCTCTAAATTTTCTCAGTATTCTATCAACCGCTGGATTTTCTCTCTCTAAACTTTTTGCGAGTTTTGAATGAAAGGGCTGTGTGTGTGGCGCTTTTTGTTTTCACATCCAAACAAATTACAAAGCCATTTCATTTGATGATGTGATTAGACCAGAAGCACAATAAACAATGTCCACTCATCAAATATGATCGTTAGATAGCCGTTATAATTCAAATTTCTTTTCTGAGGGTAGGACCCAAAAAAAAGGAAGAAAAACAAACGATAATGATTGACTTTCTACTATTCTTTTTATCGTTTGATATTTTTCGTATGAAAAGTATCCTCGTCGGATTACGGGAGGTTAAGAATTCCGTAATCGTTTATCGTGCAATAAGTTTTCATTAGACATTATTTATATTTAATTTTAAATTTTAAAATGTGAAATAATTTTCTAACCGATGTACGATAAACGATCACAGGATCCTTAGGATCCACAGAAAAAGGATCCGGCGAGAATCCACAAAAAAAGAATCCGGCGAGGATCCACAGAAAAAGGATCAAGCAAGAATCCTTTTCCTTTGTCGTAAACTAATATTTGGTAAAATTGTAATCAGTGTCTGCTTGTTTAGAGGTAGTCTCATTTTCAACTCATGTGAATTCGTTTGAAAATGTTTTTTAAATAATTGAAAGCATTTTTTGTATAGTTTCTGAATCACTTGAAGTGTTTTTTACAAAAAGCATCAGTTATATGTTTTTTCAGAAAACACTTCCAAATGTTTTTTCATAATTCACTTGCATTTTACTAAGAATTGATTCCAAAAACATTTTCACAAAAACAAACAAACAAACGCTTCCATAAAAAGCAATTTCAATCACACCCTATATTTGTGATATGCTCGAAACCTAGTTGTGACTAATCTTGATAACGTAGCTTTCTTGTAAGTGCATCATAAGCTCCGTTTGTGACAGCCCGTCCCAGAAACATTTTAACGTACGTGTGAAAAGACGAAATTGCCCCTAGTTCGATTTCCTTACGTTTATTGTTTGTTTCGGGGTTTTGTTGGCATGTTTGGAGCCACACACATATTCCCACACACCACCACCTTTCTCCCTGTTTCTCTGCACCTGTCCCGAGCCCCATTCCTTTCCTCTACCTTCGAAAACGTACGGACACACACACAAGCACACTACACCTCCACAGATCGAAGAAACTAAACCCATATTCGAACTCGTGAAGCTCGTGGGAGTCCAACCGTACCATTTTCAGGTAAGAACTCCGTCGTTTTCACGTCGATTTCACAATGTCCGTTTTGGGGTACTATTCATGCACACGTGATTTCTCACGTTTTAGGGAAAATGAAGCTTGTAGATAGCTTGGTGAGGTCCCAAGGAGGCTCGGAGTAGTTCGTTTGAAGGAATTGGACGTCGGGATCACTGTATTTGGAGTTGGTCGGAGTTGGGTGGTTTGGACAGGTGAGATTTCGTGGTTTTTAACCCTTGAAAGTAGTATAATTATGTTCCCCTAGTTCTAGGCTTCATTTTGGTACCAAAATCGTGGAATTTAGGTGAAAAACGAAGGAGATATAAACGTTTGAAAATTTTCCAGTTTTCCGGCGCCGGAGGTTCGTCGGGGAAGGAGACGGAATATTCCGTCAAGTTTGACGGAATATTCCTGACGCCGTTGACGGAATCCGTTAGAACTAACGGAATATTCCCTACGACGTCAGTTGACGCCGTCAGCGTGCCAGGCACGTGCCTGCACGTGGCCGGCGCGTGTGGCCGTGCCTTGGCCGACGCATGGGGGTGCATGCGGCGGTGAAAAATTTTTCTAAAAATTTGGGTGTGATCCTGAGGTCGAGTAGAGCACGTTGGTATATTCATTTGCCCCATTTGAGCAATGTATGAGAAGTTATTTCTAAAGTTTGGTTATGTGCTTTAAAATTAACGTTTTTATAGTTATTTCGCATATAGGTGAGACGTATCCCGAGGACGAGCGCGGTCACTCGAGGCAGGGGGGCTACGACCCCTCCACTTATCAGTGAGTGGGCTTTTGGTTTTCCGTATATACCTATATACTTATATTTTCCCAGAAATTGATTTAAATGTTTATTAGTTATATGCCATGTGTTATATTATCGTTACTTATGCATCATTAGTTGCTTTATTAGTCGTATATATATATACGTATGCATAATTGGTGTTGTGGATGCACAGGTAAGTACCAGGTAAGCGTTATTTAATATTTGCATTCAATAGTGATTAGAGATGCTTAGAGAGCTCATAACCTGCACCCCCGGTGTTAGTGCTCCCGCCCAGAGTAAGGCACAGTCCTTCACGTGATGTTCACCTCCCGCACCACACGCTCAGCTTGGATCCAAGTTAGGTGCACAGTCCTGTCGTACAGACCACTTTAGGTGGTTCTGACTCGTAGGTGACCCGCGATTATTCGCACAGCCTTCACGTGATCGTAGCACTAGAGCGTTTATATGTATTACACCCAGGCCTGTTGTACAGACCACTTTAGGTGGTTCCGACTCGTGGGCAGGTTTAGTTATTATGATTGAGATTTGAGCTCTAGATTCAGCCGTACAGGTCACTTTAGGTGACTCCGGCTGCCAGTTATATGTTATTGATATGGTTTATACCTGAGCACCTGCATTCCATTCTGAGTTCCTGGCATGGCATATTCTTGAGCATGGTTGACATATATATTTATACGTGCATATGTTTATTTTCTGGGAAGTATACAGGTTTTACGGCAAGGGGTTAGAACTTATTTTGCTAAATGGTTTTTGAAAAGCTTTGTTTTTGCCCACTCACGCTTTTGTTTTGCGCCCCTCCAGGTTCTAGCTAGCTAGCAAGTTTGGTGGTTTCCCAGAGGGTTTTCCCGGCATTTTTGACAGACGATCACCAGCGTAGGGCCACCTTCGGGTGTATTATTGTCGCATCTTTTCCTTTTGGACTACTTTAGGCGTTTTGGCTCTGAACTTAGCGTCTCACTTACGCTAGCACTTGTTCTTATTACTTTATGTAAACTAGCTTTTATTTATTCGTACTTCTTCTATTACTATATTAATTGCTTCCGCACTGTGCACTTGGTTACGTCACTTCCACGTGACGGCCAGCATCTCCTGACCTCGGTCGGGGTGTGTCACCGTTGTACTAATCTTATTGTTTATAAAAAATGAACGCTAGTTTATATTTTTAATGCATTAGTCAATGATTTAATTTGGTTAAAACTTGCCTGGGAATAAAAATGCAGAACAATGAGTGAATAAAAATGTCCCAAAAGTGTTGAAAATATGTATAAAAAAAAAAACCAAAGTGTACAAATAATTACAATCATTCCATATAATCTCCCACTCAGTTAATTAAGATAATAAAGGTTTGTTGATAAATACATATCTACCATCATCTAATCAAGCATTAGCGGGTAATTATTGTGACTAAATAATTAAAACTAGACAGTGAAACAATTCAAGAGCGAGGAGCTGCCATTTGCTGCTTCTTTATCCTCTCCCCGTTCTTCACCATACTGCATCGAAAGAACCAGATTCAGAGAATCATGTCATTGATCAAGCGGAATGTTTGGTTTTCGTCAAAGAAAAAACGCTTCGCAGACTGATATCCACGGAAAGAAAATTGAATTGCAAAACGTCTGATACTCCGGATCACAATCTTTCTTACGGCATTACCTGATATCGTGTGGGGTGATAAGTATCCATTGGGATCCTTGCACCAATGCAAAATCGACAAGAGTGTCTAGGCTGATTTTCCGGCTTACAGCATCCTGGAGATCAAATGAAGTGCAGAAAAATAGTTGATATGAACCATTCTTTGGAATCTTAAACAGAAAAACCTAGACAAGTATGAACGCAATCTTCATTCCTGGCATAAGGGGCATGGTTTAAGCGTACCATGAAAACATCAAACTCGTCCATTGCTCTAAATGGGGCTTCCGTCATTTCATGAAGAGACAATGTAAAGCACAACGTTGAAAAGGAGCGCTCCCCACCTGATTAACAATCAAATTAACACAAATGTTTTTTTTTTTGTAGGTACTTATATTACCGACTGCAAACAGTGCTGCTCGATGCATCCTGGGGCATCTTTCACAAAAACACAAATAAATGGACAACCAGTCGGAGAGTATTTAAGAAGCAAACCTGAAAGCCCTCTAGTGTCGCGAACAGTGCTGCTCGATGCATCCTGGGGCATCTTTACCTGAGCAAAGGAGCACACGGCATCAAGTTTTGCAAGGAAAAATAGGATTAGCAAAAGAAATACCAAGCCGTCCAGAAATACCAAACTTACCTCAATAGCAAGGGTCCTCTCCCTGTCATCAATCTTAATTTTCCCACTCATCCCCTTCCTTCCCAGATGGGTATTAAAACTAAGAACAGAATAAAAATTAGAAGGTACCTAGAATTGAAAAAGAAAAGTGGTGTGATTTGTTAATGAGAAGAGACAACATACTGCCATGTCAACTGGCGCTTTAAAAGATTTGCGTTTCTTTCAAACTTGCTACGTCTCAAATTTAGGGCTTTCTGGCATGCCTGCAATTAAATGATTGGACAAGGAAAAATACATCAATGAGACTCTGAGCAGCAAGATTCATCCATTTGGGGACCGCGCTCCACAGAAGATATAGAATAGACAGTTATCAGACCATATCGAATACAGGGAACAAAGGGCACATCCCAGACATATATAAACTATCATAAATTGTTTCTCCAAAATCACTGCTGTGCAGTAACATTTCCTGGGCAATGCCTAATTAAAAAGGCAACTTTAAGCAAGGGATAACCCAGGCCATATGCCTTCAATAATCCACATCCACAAACTCCACATGCTCACAAAGAAATTATTTCTCCCCATAGAAGTTTACAAAGCATATGCAATTTCTGTAGAAGGAACAGAGAGAAAGCAAAACTGTAGGCTATATAATTATACAAAATTTGCAGTTAGAGCGCCAACATAGCATTACACATGCAGCACCTTACATGTAACTTTTCTCGGTAAGCTCTGTACTTTTTCTGTCTCTCTAAAATCTTACGTTCTTTTTTCTTATATGACATTCGGAGGTCATCAATGGATTCAGTGAATCTGCAACATATCAAATAAGAAAAAAGATCTTATTTACAAGCTTTAGTTTGGAATTGTTGTCCAACAGAAGCAATAAAGAGAGAATAATTTACACACCTCTGGCTCTCTCGCTCAAGCCTCTGATTCAGCCTAGTTAATAGGGCGCTGAGCTGTTCCGGGGTGCTACCATCCCAATCACCCATAGCTATAATTTCACTCTCAGGACAAAGGATAGAAGCCTTTCTACAATTCTCCTGCAGTTCAGCCAGTGCATAACTTCAGCAACTAGTTGATACTACTTGTTTGGAAGTGTTTTTAGAATGACTGAAAACACTTTTGATGAAAGTGCGTTTTGAAACCAATCCTTAGTAAAACTGTAAGTGAATCATGGAAAAGAATTTGAAGTGCTTCCTACAAGAAGCACATAACTGGCACTTCTTGCAGAAAGCGTTTTCATTTTAAATGCACTTTCCAAATGAGACCTAAAACAATATCTTTCTTACACAAATATTCAAATTCTCAAGAACAATTCAGAGACACAAGTACAGACATCAACCCTAAAATAAAGGGCAGAGAAATTTGAATTCCAATGCACGCTATATTATCTTTGCACAATCACATACCTGGAAATTTACAAATTAATAAAAAATAAAACAAAAGCAGGAGCGAAAGCGGGAGTGTCAAAGGTACACACAAAATCAGCAAAGTACATGAAGCTGTTGCTTGCCAGGAATTAAGACATAATGAAACCATAGGCTGTGGATGATAATACCTCACGATGATGCTCAAGCTGCTGAAATTCTTTTTCTGCTTCTTGGATATCGCGAAGTACCTTGTTCCTCATTACACCTTCATAATGAGCCTTCTCCTGAGATAACGTTGAATTGTTAGATTTACAGAAGGAGAACAACAAGAGTTACAAGGCATTGAAAAAACACGTATATGTGTGCTTGTAAGTTTAAGGAAAGTGGAGGAGACCTCTTCTGCAGAAGCCAGATTTTCTTCAGTCTCCATCAGTTCTCTCTCTGCTTTCTCAAAGGCATCAATATCTCCTTTTGCCGACTCTATTGGTTTATTGAACACAAAGAAAAAGTAAGTTGGGAAGAACGTGTATGGAACCAAATACTTAATACTTAAAATGAGTTACCATACCACATAGTTTCTCATATGATACTTTAAGATCATGGGTCTTTGCTTCAGCTTCATCAGTTCTCTCTCGAAACTTTTGCAGCAACATTTTCTTTTCTTGAATCTCCTCTTGCATTTTCTGATAATCAACAGTTGATAAAGCTCATCAAAATAAGAAAACTTTATCTTAAAAGATATACATAATGGAGTAAATGAAAACATAAAGTATCATGCAACAGACTGAGATTTCTTGGTGAAGCTCATCAACAGTTGATGCAGGTGATGTACTAGCTTCAGCAGCATACGCACTGTCTTGAAGCGCTAGTCTCCTAGATGCCAAATCACGGTCCGCATGTGCACGCCTCCTCTACCCAAAGGAAAGAACCAACGTATGATTAGCAAACAGCGTGAATGAAATATTTAGACCACTAATCAATAGCAGTGAATTAGACGAGGAGATCTTAAGTTTAGTGTCACATTTCAAACTAAAATACAATAGGACAACTATATTAATTTTGCATTCAAAAGCATAGGTTCATACTCGAAGAAGAGAAGGTAAACAAATATAACCTTCACATTTCGGAGCTTCTCTTGAAGATCCTGAAGGTTTTGCTCTGCATTTCTTTTTCTCCTCATGCACTGCTTATCTTCTTCTTCTACACTTTTTGCTTGCCTTTCAAGATCACTAATTTGATCATCGTAAGAACTACAAAGACGACCAGTTCTAACTCTCTTATTGGGAGGGAGTACTGTCTGGACAGAGCCACGAGAAAACCTAGAAATAAGACAGAAATATGAGCTTATTTGTAAACCCAAACTGCGTCTGAAGCAGATGAATGTGGTAGAAGATTGAGAGACAATAATCAGTTTCCAAACTTGCCACCAACAGTATAGAACCTTGCTCAGTCAAAATCAAATTTTATGAGGAATAGAAAATTACGCTAGAAGGTTAGACAAAACTTCAGTAAATAGATTTATGACATTAAAAGCAAAACAAACTTCCCAATCCAGATGTAAATGTGAAAATTGAAGAATATGTAACAGGAATCAGATCTATCTTTTGCTTACATCCTACTACCATCTAAAGTGACAACCTCCTTTAAATTTGAGATCCTCTGGTCAAAAGCCACTGTTTTTCCCACGTCATAATCTCGTACAAGAACTTGCCTTTCAATATCTCCCTGGAAGAGATTAGTTCAGAAAATAATAAAGTAAATGTCAGGTCTAGCAAGATCAACAGCTAATAGAATATACCATAAATCATGGTACTAGCAAAAGAAGCCTGTAACTTACCCTATCTACCAAAACATTTAGAACAGTATGATTTTCAGAATGAACACGGGAAAGAGTAGTTGGGTGCTCTGTTTGTGGAAGCATGTGAGGAGGTATATGCAACCTAGTCCAGAAAGAAAGAGGGGAATTATGCAATCACAGAAAGAAAACATGCACTGTGTGTATGAGACAGCAAACTGAGAATTAATATCGACCTTGGTAATGAAAAGTCATATATGATAATTTGAACGTTGTTGTACTTTGCTTCTTTTGCACATGCTCTCAGAAGAAGAGAGTCTTTATGATTCGTTACAATGAAAGCATTGAGCAACCTTCCAATGGCATGTTCAACAGCAGGGCCCCAGACATCACCATTATTCAAAGTCTGCAGAAACAACCATAAAGATGTATCACTTAGCATGTAGTTGCAAGCGGCAGTAAAAAAAGAATCTTGCTAGAAAGAACAAGTAAATTGAAGAGTAAAGTAACACTATGTATTAACTGTGTAAGTTCAGTAGAAATTATGGAAGTGCATCACAGAAAAAACAATTCTTATTCAAAACATTTAATTTGGTATGGTGAAATACAGGAGTGCAAATTATGTAGAATGTAATACAGTCGTTCCACACTTACCAGGTGGGCACCAATTGGACCAATAGGAGGACTTGTGAATCTTTGATGATGTCTCTCAATCGATTGTAGGAGGTATATCACCTGCTGTCCACCAAATGCTGTCACCTGTATAACAATAACATTTTTCCTACTGAGCATTACAGTTATTTCTAGTAAAATGCCAGCACGTGAGCTATTGCATGTGCATTTTAGAAGGGATGGGTACAAATGGACTTCGTTTGAAATATCCCACATAGAAAAGACTGGTGATTTCACATGCTTCTAAGACCACAATATAGAGAGAGCCTCACTTTGTTGGTTTGGTTTTGACGAAGCTCACGAATAACACTTGAGATCTCTCGGCGATTCTTGTCAATATTTTGAATCTGAAAGATCAACATGTCATAATATATACATTCAAGAATCACAGCTACCTAAGTTTGACAAACAAATTATGCATTTTCAAGTTATGAAATTAACTACATAAAATGTGCAAAAATTTGCGATAAACAATTTCAAGTTATTAAATCAAGCCAAACATTTCATACCATTTGATTTATCTCTCTGATTTCATTATTTATCTGTTGTATGCATTCTGATAAGGCACTCTCCTCTTCCTTCAACCTGAAATATCATTAGATGCAACTGGGATTTGGTTAAATCTTCCTTGACGGCAACGCAAAACATAAATTGACGAAATTTATGACTTTCAACCTGGTAAGCATTGATTCAACAGTAGAAACCTCATTTTGGAGTTCTTTCAGCTTTTCCTCTATTGCAGATTCTTCTGCCTGAACAATATCAAATTAGTGGTGTAAAAGCTGATATTTTAAAGATGCTGCAGAAGATTAACCCATCCATTTGCGTGTAATCTAATTAGGCACAAAATCAATTTTTGTATTCCATGGCTATTTTTCATTATAAATCCTTTATTGGAATTAAGCAAAGGACGAATACATTTCTGATTTGAGATATCACAACCAAGAGTTAATATTTTGCTTTCATTATAACTAAAGAGATTAAATTTGATGATGGAATGTTGACTTTGAGTATAAAGCCAAAGTTGTATACAACTTTAAATACTTCAAGAAACTGTGAGCCAGAATTTGCAATTACAGTTAACAAATTTATGGGATCTTTAACACCAAGGTATCACCCAAACTTTTTTTTCAGTATTCCTTCCAACCCCAGGCCCTTTTCTCTATAATTGCAACTATTAAAAACCAGGTAATCCTAACTTCAGCGGCTCAGCCTCACATATTACAAGGGCAAGTTCAAAGCCTGTACTATTTCAGTAGCCACTAATTAACCCCTACTATTTCCATGGCCTATTGATTGAGCTAATCACCTGAAACCATACTGAACCACTACTTAAGAGATTTTCATGCAAACCATCTAATCTTTACATCAACAAAAGCATCCCTTCAATGAGAATAGTATTCACAGTAAGTTCTGTGAAGGAAAAACAAAATGAAGAAAGAACAAACTAGCATGCTCTCAAAGAAGTAATGCTCATATATGGTTGTACACAACAGGAAACAAAAAAAACCTGTGTATGTTTGGCATGTTGCTCCTGCGTATCCTCAATCTGTTGCTGAAGAGACCTAACAGCATTCATTAACTTCTGGATCTGGTTAGCTTTGCGGCTATATTCTTCTCCAATCCCAATCTTCTCTTTCGTGGCCTAAAAAAGGATTTGGCACCCATTATCTTGAAAGGATGTAACATTTTCATGACCATACAAGAACTAATTAACAGAGATACAGAGAAAAAGGAATTCGATAGCTAATTACCAAATAGGCAAGCATATTCAGAAAGGTAACACATACTTAGCAATTTCAACATTACAATTTTTTCAGAATTCAATTGTAAATAAAAATGAAGTATGTATCACTAAACGGCAGTTTCTTTTGAGATGACTTACTAGTGAAAAAACATTTGCAGAAGAAGTTACTTGCATTCTTTTTTATTTTTAAATTTTAGGATAAAGAAACTGAGGAAGGGGAAGTCAAATGATAAACACACACCCTTTTTAGCCTCTCTCGCACCCCTGTTTAATCATGTCCATTGTTTCATTTGATTAATTCAATCTAATGGCCACGAATAAGAGGGTGTATGTGAGAAGCTTAAAAGTGTGTGAAAATCACCTCCCAAGAAAATATGTATCCTTCACTCAGAATACTTCTAAAAAGAACAAGCTTTCAACTCAGGATACTTCTAAAAAGAACAAGCTTTCAACGTACCAATGTTAGTGTCTGCTGTAATTCGTCCTTCATTCTCCTAATTTCTGATGTCTTTGCCATCATCTGATCAATTTCAGATTTCTTCAAGGTGAAGCATTCTCTCAGTTTCACCACTTGACCCTGTAAAATAGATACATTTTTTTATCAGAACCCTGTAAATTAGATAAAACAAACACAACTATTTTTCCTTCTAGAATCTTTTCTGTTTGTATTCTCTGGATTCTTTTCAAAGCTGAAGACTTACTTCCACTTAATATTTCTTAAGAAATCAGAAAGACAACAGTCGATGAGGAAAATTTAAAAAGATATCTCTGTCAATGCCAAGATTTTATACTCACTATTTTTTCATCAATTTTAGCTTGACATCGAGGCACACGATCTTTCAGCTTGACGATTCTCAAATTCTGTTCCTGGAGTTGCTTGTCCACATCATATACCCATGACCAAGCAAGCTTCTTTTTTAACTGTTTTGCTTTTTGAGATATTTCTTCAACATGCTCCATGCTTTTAATCTTTTCTTGCAACTCATTAAGTTCCCTTTCAATAGGTCTTATTGAGCCCTCTAATTCATCAACAACAACACCTGCCTTCTCCAACTGTTTTTCAATGTTTTGCAAAAGATCTTCAACTTGCTGAAGAAGTGTGGCCTTGTAAAAGAACTGAACAATCATGTGTCAGTACAGCACAACCATTGAACTCTGTCCTCAGATAACACGCAAAATAAATAATCACCTTGAATTTATCTTTGTCATTCCCAGAATGCAAAAACTCTCTGCTTTTGTCTTGACTCATGACAACACAAGGATTCTCCACATCAATCTGCAGTGTAAAGCATCGAAGCATGAATATCCTTTGCAGGAGTCTAATTTTGATGAAGAGAAGTGTTGAAAATGCACATGACATGATACAAACCTCTAACAATTAAACATTAAATGCGGTCAAATATAAAATTATCACTCAATTTAAACATATCATCTTCATGAAACAACAAAATAGCAGAGAACAATCCTGTTAGTCTTAGTCTACCATGCTAACTTAATGCAAACAGATAGTTTCTAAAAAATAATTGATGCAAAGCAGATTAAGCAAGTACTAGGAAAAACACTCACATTAAAATGTTCTACTAGTTCTCGAAGATCCTCTTTTCGAGCAGCAACCCTTCTTCCTGCCAAACTCCTCAGGTGGAGAACATGGTCAAATGAAAACTACAACGTCATGAATCAATGATCTGGCACTATAGTACAGCATAAAAGATTTTGAAAGGAAAAAATCATATCAATATTATTAGAAAAGAAAAACATAACGAAGAACAGTTCCATCTCACAGGTCTTTCATTACTTCAATGATATAAGGATGGGAAACAAAATTGGAGCAAAAGATTGACACATGTCAGAAGAAGTTTTCCTAAAACATGTTTTTTTTTTTTTTTTTTTTTTTTTTGGAGAAGAAACGGTTTTCCTAAAACAAGTTTACAAATGTTTAGTACAAGAAAGATGGATAAAGAAAAATGCAACAACCATGTTTTTTAAAGATTTTTAATACATAAGCAACCCTGTGGTGCATGCCAACCTTTAATATGGGAACACAAAAGAATGAAACTGCCAAAAGGACAAATATGCCAACCAACAATATTTCTAGCTGATTCACCAAAAAAAAAGTACAAACAAGATGAGAAAGTACTTTAATATCACTTTAAAAGTTTAAAGTCAATAGTTTAATCAACGTTTTATGTAGGTAGAAATACAAACAAGCAATACTGTAAGAAAATTATTCACTCGATACCTCAAAGTCAATACCAAAAAATTTGAATCAACTCTATATACTCCATGTTTAAGTAACTACGTTCCTGACTCATCAGAGAGAGCAAAACAAAATTGTATGAGCAAAGGAATTTAAAGTTTAAACCTTGTTTATCCTTCAAAACAGTGGCGCTTGTGGTTCCAGAAATCCTGCGCTCTACTGTTATGATGTCCCCATATATTTCAGGCTTAAAAGCATCCTCCCCTTGATTTTTGAGTTCCACTTGGACAACAGCATTACTGCAATATAACACAGCATATAAAAATGTGAGACACCAAAAAGTAGTTTAAGAACAGATACTTAAAAACAGGAGAAGTTAAAACTACTTAAGGCGTTCCATCATGCATTAGGATTTAGGCCACTGGAAGTGAAATTCAACCACCAGAAAATTTCACCGTAAAATTTTCTTAAGAGAAAGAAGAAAGCTTTTGCAAGTCCCAGGTGTTTAATCTTTGGATTTTCACTGGGAATCAAAGTGGAACAACCCTCTACACAAACAGTTCTTTTCTATAACATATCACTTTCAGAATTCAATGATTAGCCATACTGTGCACATACATACCTAAGAAAAAAGGAAAACTGGAAAAAGGGCAAAAGGCACGAACCTGCAACCAGTTTTTATGAAATCCTTCAATGTCGACGCCCTTTGAGTGCCTTTAGCTCGAGACCCAAAGGCCACACAAAGAGCTGTCAGTATTGCACTTTTACCACCTACAGAAACACAAACAATCAACTGATATATACACAATTTTCAAACCCCCAATTTACCAAAAAAAACCCATAAATTCGATCAATTTCACATACAATTCATAAACCCAATTCAAACAGACGCATTTGATAGAGAGAGAAAGGAGAGAGAGGAGGGCTTACTTCCATTTTGGCCGGTGATGAAATTGACCCAGTCGCCGAGCTCAATCTGCAAGCTACTGTGGCACATGAAGTTCTCCAATCTGACTCTCTGGACGATGCCCGACCCGGAACGCTGGCGGAGGCCGGAGATAGGGTCACCCATGGCTAGGTCGGAGTGCGATGGCGTTCTCGCGAAGGTCAGAGACAAAACCCTAGGAGACGAGATTGACGGAGTATCTCGGGAAGGTAGAGAGGGTGGGGCTTGATTGATGGGACTCTGGAGGATTTAGGCGGGAAGAGAGAGTAGGCCGTGAGAGGGACGAGTTCTTTTTCCCTCAAAGACGAGAAATTCTGATTTACCAAACCCACCGGATTAAGTAATCTGATATTTAAAATTTGAAATAGATATTTCTTTTAAAAGTTATAATAACTTTAGTTAGGAGTGCGCACGGGTTGGGCCGGGCTTAAAATTGGAGGGACCGGACCAGACCCACTTAAAAATACAACGAGCCGGGTCGAGATAGATTTTACTATTTTAAAACTAAAAACCGGACCTAATCCGGCCCGTATAAAACAGGCCGGTTCCTGCAGGTCCAACGGGTACCCTATTTTTTTTTTTTCTTCTAATTTCCAATATTCCAGAACCCAGATTCCTAGTCAAATTCAAGTTCGAAATTGAATGAGGATGGGAAGAAGGTGTTGCCGGAGATCGAACCAAGCTCTTTCCTTACCCGCTGCGAGGAAATTCTGCAAGCGTTCATCCTCAGATCAACAACTGCAACCAATTAATTTTTTTTTTTGGCCAACACATAAGGTGAGGGATGACCTCAACGAAGTCGTTTTCATCAGCATATAAGGGAATCTACGGTTGAGAACAAGTCGTGGACAACCCAGTTGATGCCCGAGTGTTGGACGAAATGTGTGACTGTATGCTTGAGCAAGTCGTAGGCTATTTTGAGGTAGGGGGCTTTGTTGATTGGTAGCTTGGAGGTGGACTCGACGGATTCAAGTAAGTCGTCAACGGCGGAGAGAGGAAGTTCGACAAAATCAATCGAGCTAATAGCGCCACATAATCAGGCGAGTCGAACTAGATTGGGTGGTTAGCTCCAATCTGTTCACCTTCATCTTCTCCGATCTGTTTGAGCGCCACAGAATTGTCCAATTTGTTCACCTTCGTCTTCTCCGATCTACTTGAGCCCACCATCTTCTCCGATTTAAAGCCTCGCAACGTTCGTCTTCTCCGATCTGATTGAGCCTGCTGTATTTCGTCGTTCGCCCCCTCGAGTTCAACAGAGAGAGAGAGAGACTGAGTTGGTCATTTTTCCCTTCGAGTTCGATAGAGAGAGATCGAGAATCGAGAGGGATGAGAGTTATTCTGGACTCTAGAAGAGAGAGGTCGAGAAGGAGGAGATCGAGACACGAGAGGGATGATAGAGAGAGGAGATTCAGTCTGAGTTTAGGAGTTTTCGAGAAAGTGAACTGAGAGGAGATTTAGTTCATTGGATACGGTCCAGGCCAAGGGCCTGTGTCTTTAGAAAATTGGAACCGCCCAGCCTCGCTGTTTACTTGGATCTGCCTCGCCCACCCCGTTTTGTATATAACATAATATGGACCCACCTCGAACCACTAGTACCCGCCCCTACCTGCGGGGCCAGGGCCCGTTTGTCTACCCCTAACTTTAGCTGTTGGATTAAATTTCAAGGATCCGAATCACTTGATCCGGTGACCTTGATAGAAAAGATCCAGAAAGGATCTCTTTCTAGGAAAATTGGGAGTGGTGTCAGAGGGGTTTTTTTTTCTTTTTCTAAATTGATATGAAGTGGGTACCTCACAATTAACTAGTAATAGCGATATTATCTTTATTCAAATCAATATTTAAATTTTTTTTTTATTGTCATTTATTATTACGGTCTATTGATATTTCCATTCACTTGTAAATAAGAGATCTTAGGTTCGCTTTTTTCGCCAAAGATGAATTTGAATCACCCCTTCGTGAGGTAGATAATATATTTTGTTAAAAATAAATAAATAAATAAAGAAGAAGAAGACTTTTTTCGGTTGCATTAGAGGAATTCATTGACCTATTCTAATTTTAACTCATAATTTTGTTTTGCATAACATTGAGGTATTTGACGTCAAAGATTTTGCTAAATGAGGTACATATGTGATGTTAAAGATTCCGTTGACAGATTAAAGGAGAGCACCCGAGACTCGATCAAGCATCACGCAAAACAGATTATTTTACACTACGAAACATACAATCAAAGCAGGGTAAATTTCATAAAAGTACAAGAACGAAAATGTACTTAAGAGTGCACGATTTGATCTCATTTATTTGTTAGTTCAGATAACATTAAACGTAGGATTGTAGTCTCAGCTAAAACAATTTCTCTTAAGAAAATATAACAAACGAAGCCTTGGAGTGCCCACCAACAACTAATCAAAGAGTTTAGGACTTTCTAGTATGCTCTGACGTATAAAATATCGGAGCACATTACAATTTTCGCAATAGCCTAAAACATTCTATATAATCCCCCACATGATCAAGCATTACCAGCTTTTGGCATTACTTTGTTTATCTGACGTCTTGTTTTCGAGGAATTGTTGCAGAAAGTTTGAAAATCGAATCACAATCTTTCGTAAAACATTACCTGGTATCGTGAGGGCTGATAAGTATCCATTGGGAACCTTGTTCCAAACAAAAATCGACAAGAGTGTGCTGATTTTCCGCTTAAAACTATTGCAAAGGGTCAACTTTGGTGCAACAGAAAGATTGTTCATTTTTTATTAGAAGATCACGCGTTCGTGTCATGAAAACAACATCTTTGTAAAGCAAGGTAATGTTGCATACGATAGACGTTCGTTCCCGACCCTCGTGAAGTGAGGAGCTTTATTGACTTGAGATCGACCTTTTAAATTGTTGCAGATACACTGAAACTCTCGATGAGCTCCGGTTCTCATATGAGAAAAAAGAAAGTAACATATTAAAGAAACAAGAGACGTACGTATATTTTCAAGAAAAACTACATGTAATAGCCTTTTAGAATCTTGATCATTATGCACGTTGCTCTGGGTCGTGCGTTGACACAAACAGGACATTTACACTAATGGGTAAATGTAAATCCCAACATGACTCGTTATCATATATGAGGCTTTATTTGCACCGCACCTGGACCCGAATTAGAGTCCAACTTGCTTAGCACAACACGCTTTTCGAGTCGCACGGCCCCATATCGTAGCAAGACAGCCCAACCCAACTCCTGTCGTGATTTAGTCCAACTTAAACTCCACCTCGTAATTTAAGGAATCCAAATTAGCTTCCTTTCTCGAAGACTGTTTCCAATCCATGCAAATTAATCAGAGATTAAATCCAATTTACAGCTGTTGTTTTGCATAATTCCAGATTACCAAGATTCAGATTCCAACATTTATAGAATTATTTTACACAAATTACTGGTAATATTCTAACACGCCCTAATGTGATTGATGTATAAAATTTGGACGTGTTATTTTACACAAATTACTGGTAATATTCTAACACGCTCTACTGTGATTGATGTATAAAATTTGGACGTGCTCAGAAATGTTGTTTACGTGTCACTTAAATTTCGGTATTGACTTATAATTATGCTGTCTACATGGCACGTTACAACTGACACGGCATACTGTGATTGATGTGTAAAACTTGGATGTGCTTAGAAACATCCACATAATAGTTAGTAATATGTAGCAAATGCCGCTTTGTCGTAGTGTCAGAAAGTAACGATGCATATGCACTTTAGTGTGGATTTGATCTCCACCAATCTTCTCCTCCAACAATTTAACCTACGACTACTATCGTTTGTCAAAGCTATCATTATAAGTATATCCTTCAAATTAGGAAAGTTGTTTTGTGCCATTTGATTTTATTTATAACTGATGACCAGTCACCTAAAGTCACATTTGTATAATTTTGAAGCCTAAAGGTCACTTATAATCAAGATAAAACTTCATATTTCATCATTTATGAATAAAAGGCAAGTAATCCACATTGGGAGATTATTTGACCAGAAAATAAGCACTAAAATAAAGGCACATTCCACCCAAAAAGGAGCAAAAACATATGAAAAAACAACAGGAGTTTTAACGAAAAATTCGCGGTACTGTTTATTTTAACGAAAAATCACATTTTTACACTAAAAAGTCAAATTAGGTACTATTCACTTCATCATTTATTTTATCTTTATCATTAAAACTCAAAATTTTCAAACTTTTTTTTATCAGTTTTCCTAAAAACAAACCACATTCAGAAAAAAATGATCTTTTATTTTTCTTTTGAGATTGCATTTGAATTTACTACTTAATGAGTTGGGATTTACACCGATGCGAGTCAGATACTATCATAAAAAAAAACCAAAAATATATATAACAGGAGCGCTCGAGCATTAAACCAAAAAATACAAAGTATCGTGTCCCATATGGCCAGTGGCCACGGCCTCCGAAGGACATATATTTCCGGTTTTGTTCCTTTTGCGTAAGGAAATGCTTGTCACCTACTCACCATATTAAGTGCCCTATTCAGTTTCACACTCTCCCCTCTCTCTCTCCTCACATCAAACACACAGTTTTTAGAGAGAGAGAGAGAGAGAAAACAGAGATTTGGTGCTCTTCATCTTCCATGGAGAAGCAGAGAATCTGCAAGATCTGCAACAAGCGGTTCTCCAATGGAAAAGCGATGGGGGGTCACATGAGATCCCACCTCGCCAAGCTTCCTCTCCCACCAAAGCCGCAGTCGCCGCCGCAGCAGCAGCATCACCAACTCAGTGACTCGCCCGAGTCGTCGTCCCCTCCATTTTCGACTTCCAACAGGGGCATGCATTCTTCTCTGGATTCAGCCGTGGTCCACGATGGCGGAGACAGCGACAGCGAGTCCCACCCGCGAAACCCAACTCATAGAAGATCCAAGCGGCGCCGCAAAGTGATTGGGAAATCGTCGCTGACACTGCCGTTCGAGGCAGAGCAGGTGAGTTCTGTTACCGATGCTTTTTCAACTGAAGATGTGGCTAGGTGTCTTATCATGCTCTCGATGGATAAATGGGATAAATGGGAAAAAGTAAAAGTAAAAAATGGGGTGGATGAGTCCGCGGATGAGGAGGAAGAGGATGAGTCGGACGACCGCGGCGGTTCTGGTCTTCGGTCACATACTCGGGTTCGGACTCGGGGGAAGTACAAGTGCGAGACTTGTGACAAAGTGTTTCGATCTTATCAAGCGCTCGGAGGGCACAGAGCGAGTCACAAGAAAATCCTTAAAACCCAAGTGTTTGATGACTATGAAGAGGAAGAAGATGAAGATTTTGAGGAAGATGATGGGCAGAATGGTAATTTGGCCGTGGTGGAGAATCACAGGATATTTGAGTGCTCTGTTTGTTTCAAACAGTTTGATTCTGGTCAAGCACTTGGTGGGCACAAAAAAGTACACTACTACAACAATTTGACCATCAATGCCCCTACTAGGAATATGAATTTGCCAGCGTCTTCTACTAATTTTGTGGACAATTTGGTCATTGACCTCAATCTCCCTGCACCAGAGGAGGAAGAAGAAGAGATTAGCCAGGTTGAATTCTCAACAGTTTTCGATTAATGCAGTAAAAAAAGTGCTTTTGAACTACAAGTGCTTATTTGAAAATCGAAATCCTTGATCATTGACAAGTTGGAGAGGTAAAAGTTAAAAAGTGTTCATCCTGTTATTTTTTTTTCCAAACATAGTTTTCTTTCTTCGTATATACTGATGAACATGAACTAGAAATTTCTCATTTCTCTGTTGAGGATGTTATACAGTGGTTTTTTTTGGATATTTTAATGGAGTTTATTTCTTTTTTTATTTTGAATATTTTAATAGTTTACACTTCGTATTGCATGGAACGAATATCAGTATAGCTTCTCGTCATTAGAAGTTAAACTCGACCTTGGCTCTCTTAAGCTAAATTATGAGGGTCAAAATCGCTAAACTCGATTTTCGGATCTTCTTTGTGAGGATTATCGGAATTCTCATATACTCTTCAGATTCTCAAATTATGTCTGTTAATCGTATATCGTGAAATCATAAATCATTTTAAATATTTTTATTTAAAATTAAACATAAACAGTACATAACGAAAACTAACCATACGATGTATAATAAACAGATACGATTTGAGAATCCGAAGTGGATACTCATTCCAAAAAAATTAAGAAGTTACTTGTGCAGCCACTTGTTTTTGACTTATCGAAACTGTTTCCCTCATTTTTCTCTTTAGGAAAACAAATTAATTAAAATTTTGAATAATATGTGGACAAAAATAGAAGTTTGGAGAGAGAATTAAAGTCCAAAAATGCAAAAAAGTTTGTGCTTTATTTTTTGAATGTAAAATGATTAAGCTTCTACCTGTCATCTCCTCCTTCATAGTTAGCACAGTCGGTGAACAAGTCAAGAGAGAGAAAGAGCCCACTCATGCGAAAAATTTTTAGGTGTACCGGGTACACCAAATTTTTTTGGTGTACCCTCACTCATTAGAATTTTTTTGGTGTACAAAAAGTGAGGGTGCACCAAATTTTTTTGGTGCACCCTCACCATTATGAGTGAGGGTACATCAAAAAAATTTGATGTGCCGGGTACACCGAAAAATTACTCCACTCATGCAGCTGAACCTCTCTCTCTCTCTCTCTCTCCTCCTTCTTATCTTCTTCTGGATTCTTCTTTTATTTCTGGTGTAATGTGGTAATTTTCTGAGGTGAAAAGGATGACATAACCAGTCAAATAATGCCATTTTGCATTTAATTAAACAAGGGTTTTATACCGTCTCGAGTGTAGTTAGGTCGGTTAAATCAATATGTATAAAAAATTAGTTGCAAGAGTTAACTTAATGGTGTCACTTCTACTTCAATTGATAAATGTTGTGTCTACTAGCGGAATTTAAGTTAGTTCGGTCATAACCTAAGGCACAAGGGGCATGATGACGTGACGTGATCTTTAGCTTCCTTTGGTTAAGCATCGACAAACCTATTCATAATTCTAAACTCTACGACAACTCAACTCGAGGGTTGCACTCTCTGCATGGCCTAATCCAACACCTTATGCCACATTAAAATAGAGATGGCATTTTTTATTTTTAACTTTTGTCAAATTAGGTCTTGTTGTCTCTAATGTGCTAGAACATTATCCGTGTTGTTCCTCCCATTCTTAACTCGTTTACTCTTATAAACACTCCTAGTTTTGAATCTTTAGAATCTCAAATCTCATTGTTATTATATATTTATATTGCTTTATATACATTTTCGTGTTTTTTTATGATTTAAAAGAATTATCAAGACGAATGTACAAATTGGAGGAGAACAATTTACATAAAAACAAGTTAGGCGTTTAGATTTAATAATACAATGTTATGTGTTGAAAAACGTACATATGTTATTGATTTAATAGAACAAACGTATACTACTGTGACTGTGAACTTATTATATATAAGTCGAATTGAAAATAGGATAAAGTAGAGAAAAATCTTGGCCGTTAATTATCATCCTTACAAGAATGTCCTGGCCAAAAATTGAAACTGTCATATCAAATACAGTAATTAATCATAACTTTAAATTCACAAAAATACAAGTTAAAGGAAGCGAAATGTCAATTAACAATTCTACTCAAAGAAGCAAGGGGTCACAGAAAAAAGTGGGTTGGAAGATGACAAGTATCCCAATCACACATGTTTGCTTGATAAAAGTGGGTTGGAAGATGCCAAGCATCCCAATCAGAAAACCTGTTTTGCTGCGGAGAGGTTAGTTGAAACTTGACATAGAAGCTTTTGCTCACTTGGATGTTCCACATTATTTTTATCTTAGGATTTTCCCTCCTCTAAATTTCCTATCTTGCTCTCCTCTCTTCTCTTATCTGTTGATGTGATTTAATCGTGACTACTTAAATAAGAAGGAACAAAAGAAAACAAGAATTTGGAGGAGAGAGAATCTTACTCCATTTTTATCTGTTTCTCTAGTTAACACATGACATTTTGTTTGGCCTGTGATGCCACCACATTAGCGTCCCGGAGGATGTATGTAAGTTGTTCTCTATTTGTTAGGGATTTCGTATGATAATAAAATATTGACTATGGTTAAATTTTAGTAGATGCTAATCTACTACAAATGAAAATGCTAATATAATAGAAAAGAACTATCTTTTGTGTATACTTTCTCCTATTTCGTTGCTACTACGGGCTTAACGCAATCGATCAGATCATATAGATATCCTTCAACACAACATACGTCATTGAAAGGGTCTTGGAGACCCACCAAAGCACGAAAGCCAGGCTCTTTCAGAAAATGGATTCCTAATGGTATTATTCTTCACTTGTAAGTGAGAGGTTTTAGGTTTGATTCTCGCCAAAGACGAATTTGAACCATATGCTAGCCCATTGTGAAACTTAGCTCACTTCTCTACCCCTTTAATGTAGATACTACAATAGAGATTAATTGTTGGAGTTTCAATGTAAATTGGTGTACATTCGTTGAATCAAAACGTCATGAACTTCGTTGTAGAATTTGACCAAACAAAAAAGGAACTCGATCATAAATTGCTTAGTTTGTATTCCTGAAACAGATAACAGCTTAGTGGTTAAATTACCCATAGGATGCTTGTAAATTTGTAATTAAGTGGCAAACTTAACTACGAGGTTGAAGATTCTTGGTGAATTTCTTCCTTCAGTTGAAGTACGCAATGTTACTTTTTCGTGTGACATTTACTCATATCACAATATGTGATCAGATTCAATCTCGTCGATAAAAAATGTAGATTCGGTGGATCTTCATCTCAATATGCTTATATTTGAACGATTCATGTGGATCTGCTTCCATTAAATATGAAATTCAAAACAAATCCCTTGTAAATTCGTAATCACAAATTTAAGTTTATAATTAAACATTTTCTTGTACACTTATGATTTTTAGTTGGTTTTACAATTTTGTACAAAGTTCGCTATAAAATCCATTTGCTTTTCATCTCCTCTTCACCACAAAGGTGGCCAAGAAGATATCACTGGACAACAAGGTACTAATAATTTAGGTCTAAATACGAGTTTTGCTAAGTTGCAGCGAGGGAGTACTAGTCCTAGTCCAAGTCCACGCCCTAGAATATCAGTGTCCGCGCCACCTCCGCCGTCTCCGTCTGCATGGGCTTTGTCCCCGGGACGGTCTTTGCCGCGCAAGGTGACACCGGATCCCCCAGCGGCAACGCCTTCGGCAAGGGCAGCTAGGGTTAAGTCTAGTGGTGGCGGGGTTCGTGGGGTTTTAAAGTATTTTAGGCTGCAGAAGAAAGTGCCGCCGATACAAGAGGAGGACTTCCAACGGTTTCGGATTTTGCATAATAGGCTGCTGCAGTGGAGGTTTGCAAACGCCAGAGGTGAGGCTGCTAAGCTTGCTACACAGAAAATTTCACAGGTACTAGTTATACATTAATGCTTAATTACTACATTGCCTCTGACGGTGTTGTAAATTACAATTTGCCTCATGATGTTCCCATGACCCGGGTTCACCCCCTAAACCATGTTGTCGTTGCCCACTTTTTTCACGCCGTTAAATTCCCGTCAAATATACCGTCCAACATGTTTTCGAGGCATGATCGGAGTCCGATATTGTGCTTATTTGTGTTCAAGTAAGAGTCAAATGTAACGAGCTCTATTTGTGCCACACCAACACTTAAGTATTATTCGAACACACTTTTGAGGGGTAATATAGTAAATGAGGCCTTCTAGTTAACTGGTGCACTATGTAAATTTGCTTAATAAATTGTCTTTTATTTTTCAGGATAAATTGTTTAGTGAGTGGCTTAGAACATTGAAAGTGAGAAACTTCATCCTAGACAAAAGAATACAAGTGCAAAAGCTCAAGCATGAGATTAAGGTGTACCAGATTTTGAACCCACAAATTTTCCTACTGAATGAAAGGGGAAAATTGGATAAAAAAAATCAAGAATCCATCAGCAGGTTGGTGAGAAAATTGTCAGGAATTTCAAACACAATCCCTTTGGTCAGTGATGCTAACGTATAAGTTCAACTCTCTCTTTTAGTCAGGATAGTTTGTCCGCTTGTTACACTTAACTTTGAATCTCTCTTTCTGTATATCGCAGGCAGATGTGGCATCTGTATACGAAACCATGACCGCGGCCATGGCTGCGATGGAAGGTAATTTAGGAATGGTCTCTAAACTACTGCCGCAGGTTAGTTCCTCTTTATACAGTTAATTAAAGTAGAAAAAAGCCTAATTTAGTTTGATATCTTCCATTGGATCATTATTTGTATATAATTAAGTTCTAATTCGGATGATTTTCTTCAACTGGAAAAGGTGCTTTACATGGTTACGGAGCTATTAATCGAACAGAACCAACAGAGAGACTTGGAGAGTAATTTAGCCTTGGTTTCTGCACTTGCGGTGAGTCGTTTATCTTTCTGTCAAGCTCATGCAATTTTCTAAGTTACATATGGAATGGATCGATGACACAACTTTTTTTACATCATTTTTTACATATGTTTTTATGGGTCCATTTTGTAATGTTTTTTCAATGATCCGATTCGTCTATCTTTAAAATCTTCCCTCATGATTCATGTCTACAAAATATCACCACAATCTGTGACCATATGACCGTTGATTTAAGAGTTTAGGATGTTTTTAGAGAATAATATTCATTTATTTTCTTCACTACAAATGAATGTCTTAATCATCTTAAATTTGTCGAATTTTTGCAAAGATAATTTATGAATGATCTAAAAGATAGACAGTTCAGAACATTAAAATAATTACATAGTGGGCCTGACAAAAACACGTGTCAAAAGTTATGTGAAAAAAAAAAAAAAAGATGGCACGGATGCGCCACATATATATATATACAGTGGCGAAGCCAGGAATAAATGAGGGGAGGGGCAAAATTTAAAAGCGTTAATAAAAAAAAGATAGACAACCAAATCCTTTTACATGTTAGACAAAATCAATGTCGTTTATAATGTATCAATACAAAGAAATATAGTTACAATTATGCGGACAAGGTTTCAAGTCATAAAAGCATGGCATAATAGGTTCATTATTAATAAAAGCAAAAACATCTCTTTCAATGTGAAAAACCAAGCTATCACTCAACAATGGATTTCCATTTTGCTATGCAGGTGTTTTAAAATATTCATAACACTGTTTCTTATAGTTTTGTTCAATTACGTAACTTTATAATGGAAAAAAAAAACTTAGACTCTTAATTTTATGGTATAGTCTACTATATGACTAATAACTAATTAAACTAACAACTTAATTAATCAATATCAATAATCACATAAATTATTTTATAATCATATAAGCTATTCAATGATCATTAATTCAATTCACCAATAATAAACCATTTCATTCGTCAATAATCATATAATTCATATCAATAATTAACGATCAATACCATAAGCTATAATTCCATATCAATTAACCACACTTCTTATTAAATTATCAATTAGGAATTTAAATTAAAAAAACTAGAAATTTAACTTAAAAATTGGCTTTAAAATCCGGCTTTGAAGCAAAAGCTGCTGACTTGGTTTGGAACTGAAAGTTGCTTGCTAAGGCTTGACTTGAAGGCTGTAAATGAAGGGGGTAATTTGGGCAGAATAACTGATTTGGGTGAGGGGATTGGGAATTTGGGACTGGGAG